ACTAATGAGTTTCCATCATTCATCATTAACACTGACTTCTGCTCGCAGTTGACTTGGATTAATTTGCTTTAGCACTCTTTGTCTAAAAGATAAAGACATTGATAGTTCAATTTTCTGAGCTATGTTCAGATATAAAAAATACAATTAAAAACCTGTGATAACATTATGCAGATAAATGTATTAGTATTTTAATTATAACACAATCATCTCTCATATCCTATGCTCCTATGTACAAAGTAACAGATATAAGAAAAATGACTGTGAAGCTAAACATACCAATTACAAAAAATGGTGGAAGAGAGAAAGCACCTGCCACATGCAGAGATGTTCAAAATTACATCCCAGAAATAATGCATAGTAAAACCTTCTTAGAACAGAGGGTATTTACATGTCTTAATCTATTACATTCCAAAAACAAAACAATTGTTCTTCACTTCATCATAATAAGCGGAGCCATGCAAGTAATCTTTTTACGCCCCGATGGTCAACTGTACATTCAGAATTTCTGGTGTATAGTACGGAGATTAAAGAGAGACAACTAAGCTAAGTCAGAGAAGAGGATGGAAAGGAATGCAGAGCAGATAAGAAAGTAAAGTAACTAAGGATATGTGTGATTTAAGTGTCATTAAACTCAAATCATCAAAAACTGTCATACATGCTACAGTATATAAGATTGTGTTCAAACACTCTCATCCACTAGATCATTTGTTTTCTGCAGACTGCAAAAATCATGGTTGATCCTGATGTTCACTGTCCCTCCCTCTTTTTCTCTTTCCCCACCGTGTGTAGACCAGCTGTTGCCATCTACTGAGCAAGCTCCAGTTTCAGTTCCCTTCTAAGCTGTTAATTTACTCCTTTTTTGTATCTGTAAAGCCCATGTGACTATAGAGTCACACATGTTGGCATATACACAGTGGTAAATGACATTCCTCCTCCCTCCCTCTCTCCTCCTCCATGTCCTCATTATGCTACACACTATTAGGTGGGAGATGGTGATTGGTGGAGGCTTCACCTCCCTGTTAGTCTCAGCACATACACACCATAGACACAGCCTCTGATTGGCAGAACTTCCTCTAGATCTCTTTACAGTGTGAACAAAGCTATTATCAGACAATTTTAAACTCCATCTACACAATGTTTTTGCGAAAAAATAAATACGTAAATAAAATAAACATTTGCTTTGAAATAGTCAGTTTGCATGAAACTTTAACCACTCACCCCCTTCCTGACCAGGCCAATTTTTTCTATTTGAAGCTCCGCTATTTCAATTAATAATTGTGTGGTCATGCAATGCTGCACGCAAACAAAACATATGTCCTTTTTTCACACAAATAGAGCTTTCTTTTGGTGGTATTTGACCACCACTGGGTGTTTTATTTTTTGCGCTGTAAACAAAAAAAGACCAAAAATGTTGAAAAAACCCCCCCAATATTTTTACTTTTGGTTATAAAAAATATAGTGAACTCAAAGTTAGTCATAAATTTAGGCCAAAATGTATTCTGCTACATGTCTTTGGTAAAAAAATCCCAATATAGGTATATTAATTGGTTTATGTGAAAGTTATAGCATCTACAAACTATGGTATAGATACTGGAATTTACGCCATTTTTTTGCTATACGATGCTGTGCTAGTTTAGCTGACAACTGCACAGTCATGCAATGCTGTACATAAATTATATTTGTCATTTTTCCACACAAATATAAATTTCTTTTGGTGGCATTTGATCACCTTTGGGAGTTTTATTTTTTGTGCTATAAACAAAAAATGACCGAAAATTTTGAAACAAATGGTATTTTCTCATTTCTGTTATAAAATCTATCCAAAAAACTCAAAGTTAGTCATAAATTTAAGCCAAAATGTATTTTGCTACATATCTTTGGTAAAAAAAAAATTCCAATAAGTGTATATTAATTGGTTTGTGTGAAAGCTATAGTGTCTACAAACTATGGTAGGGATACTGGAATTTACACAGCTTTTACTTTGTCTGTCACATTTCCAGAGGTGCTAAATTGCCAGGGCAGTACAAACACCCCCAACTGACCCCTTTTTGGAAAGTAGACACCCTAAGCTATCTGCTGAGAGGCATGCTGAGTCCATGGAAGATTTTAGAAAATGACACTTTTTTTTTTTTTTTTTACACAAAGTTGTAATGTAAATGGTATATTGCTCACACAAGCCATGGGTATATTTGGAACTACACCCCAAAATATATTCTGATACGTCTCCTGAGTATGGGGATACCACATGTGTGAGACTTTTGACAGCCTAGCTGCATACAGGAGCCCAAAATCCAATGACCATTTTGAAAGCCTTATGGTACATAAATTCCTCATTTCACTTCCCTACTACCTAACACAGTTTTGGAGGCCCTGAAATTCCAGGACAACACCCCCCCCCCCAAATGACCCCTTTTTTGGAAAGTAGACACCCCAAGAAATTTAATAAGAGGCATAGTGACCATTTTGCAGATCTATTTTTTTTTTCACAAGGTTTTTAAAAAGAAAAGAAAAAATGTTTTTGTTTTCTTTTTTCATTTTCCAAAAATTTGTGACAACAAATGGGATCTGCAAAATACTCACTATGCGTCTTATCAAATTCCTTGGGGTATTTACTTTCAAAAAGGGGGGTAGTTTGGGAAGGGGGGGTTGTACTATTCTGGCATTTCAGGGCCTCCGAAACTGTGATAGGTAGTCAGGAAAATAAAATGCAATAAATAGGGATATTTGGTTCACACATATTGCAATACATGCTTAAGCTGGCCAACTGCGTCAAAGTAATCCCTCTATGGCCAGTCCTACTCTGCCCTGCCTACGCAAGTGCTACTGTGGACACAATGCTAGCATAGGGGAAAAGAGTAGGACTGGCCATAGAGGGATTACTTTGACGCAGTTGGCCAGCTTAAGCATGTATTGCAATATGTGTGAACCAAATATCCCTATTTATTGCATAGTTTTGCTTGAAAGGGTATATACCAGTGTGCAGAGGGTCCTTCAGAATTTCTAGAGTTAATGTGGTTACACCCCTTTAGCACCTGATGGATAAATGCATGCACTAGCTGTATGGATTTGAGCACAGGGATCTCTTGTTTGTTGTATTGTTGGGTCAGTAGCCAGACCTGAACCTTGTAGCTCTCCCCATTGTGTCTTTTCCCCTATGCTAGCATTGTGTCCACAGTAGCACTTGCGTAGGCAGGGCAGAGTAGGACTGGCCATAGAGGGATTACTTTGACGCAGTTGGCCAGCTTAAGCATGTATTGCAATATGTGTGAACCAAATATCCCTATTTATTGCATAGTTTGCTTGAAAGGGTATATACCAGTGTGCAGAGGGTCCTTCAGAATTTCTAGAATTTTGCACTTTTTTATGTCACATACTATTTGTGCAGAGATTTTTCAAACACAATTTTTTTTTTAAAAAATGCACTTTTTTGAATCTTAATGCACAAAATCACAATATATTAGTCAATTTTTTGGTAAAATGTAAAAGATGATGGTATACAGAGTAAATAGATACCAAACATGACATGATTTAAAACTGTGCACGCTCCGTGTAACGGCGACAAACTACGTACATTTTTAAAATTCATAGGTGACACTTTAAAAGCCTTTAAAGGCTACCATTTTACCAGGAGGTCTAGTGTGAGAATTACTGCCCTTAATTTGATGTTCACGGCGATACCTCACATGCATGGCTCAACCTCTGTTTACATACCAACACGGGGACAACGCTTGCGTACTCCCTTGCGTGCATGCGCGTGGGGTAACGAGGGTGATTTTTTTCTATTATTTTGATTTTTTTAGTATTTTTACACTATCTTTCATTTTTTTAATCACTTTTATTGTTATCACAGGAAATATCCCATGTGATAGCAATAGGCAGTGACAGATATTCTTTTCTGAGAAATCTGGGGTCTCTCCTCTGCAAACATTAATGGCTGTGTGTTGAATTATTTTGAGGGGGCAGCAAATTTACACTGTTATACAAGCTGTACGCTCACTACTCTACATTGTAGCAAAGTGTCATTTCTTCAGTGTTGTCACATGAAAAGATATAATAAAATATTTACAAAAATGCAAGGGGTGTACTCACTTCTGTGAGATACTGTATGTTATTTTCTTTTTTTTATGCAACCTGTGGGCTGAATGAAAAAAAAGAGAAGAAATCTCTGCCAGAAAAAGTGTGTGGTATGCTCACCATTAGAATATACCACCCTTAATGATGGGCATAAATGAAATGTTCTTTTTTTTTGTTCAGTTCATGACTCTGTAAAAAAAAATTTTTTTTTAAATATATCTCATTGGGGCCATCCACCCACTGACCACCCCAGGCCCAGATAAAAAAAATCTCATCCAACAGCGCTGCACACACTTACCTTTGTATATTCTGAGAGCAAGTCCCTGTTGCTGTCAGAATAAACAGATCGGTGCTGCAGCTGAATGGCATTTCTGCAAAGAAAACAGCAATGGTTAACAATAAAACAGTACCAATAAAACAATAACTCAATAAAACAACTTTTTTATTGAAATCTGTGCAAAAATATTGTAAAATATATATGCCAAAGCATAGGGGCGATCCACCCTACTCACCACCTCAGGCCCCCATGCTTGGGCATATATGCTCTTTTTCAACTGCAGATGAAAAATCTTATCCAACAGAGCTGCACACACTTACTTATATTCTGAGAGCAAGACCCTGTTGCTATCAGAATAAACAGATTGGTGTTAACTCCTTAAATAGGATGTGTGAATCCCACAGCCCACCTACCATCAGGGGGTGGGGAGAAAGGGGAGGGAGTTCTTTAAAAGGTATTTATACTCTATGTATATAGATGGTAAGAACATGTTATCAGTACATTACTTTTTTTTTCTTATATTTACCAATGAATTATTGTGGTTTTTATTGCATTGGGTTGTCTGGGAGACAGAAACAGCATGGTTGTCTAGTTCTGGGACAACGTCCTGGGACGTCATTCTAGAACACGCCCCCCAGCAGCGCGCACCCAGCGCCACCGGTGATACAGTAAATGGGCAATCACAGCTGCATTTTACCACGTGATCAGCTGTGTCCAATGACACAGCATATCACCGGGTAAATACAGCTGTGACAGCATGAGGAAAGTTCTCCCAATAACTGGCAATTGTCAGAGCAGTGATCGGCACCGATCATCAGGGCACTGATGATCAGTGCCCTGATGGTCAGTGCCCAGCAGTGCAGCCCACTTGTGCCACCCACCTGTGCCCACCAGTACCACCCACCTGTACCCATCAGTGCCACCCACTTGTGCCCATCAGTGTTACCCAACTGTGCCCATCAGTGCCACCCACCTGTGCCCAGCAGTTCCTAGCAGTGCACCCATCAGTGCTGCCCAGCAGTGCCTCATATCAGTGCCCAGCAGTGCTGCCCAACAGTGCTGCCCAAGCAGTGCCACCTATCGGTGCAGCATCAGAGCCAGCTCATCAGTGCTGCCTATCAGTGTCTACTATCAGTGCCTCCTATCAGTGCCCATCAGTGCTGCCTATCCATGCCACCTCATCAGTGCCCATCAGTGCTGCCTATCAGTGCCCATCAGTGCTGCCTATCAGTGCAGCCTCATCAACACACATCAGTGAAGGAGCAAAAATACCTGTTTGCAAAATTTTATAATAGAAAGAAAAATGTTTTCTTTTCAAATGTTTTGCACTTTTTTGTTTAAAGCGCAAAAAATAAAACACCCAGTGGCGAATAAATACCACCAAAAGAAAGCTCTATTTGTGTGAAAAAAATGAACACATTTTATATGGGTACAGTGTTGCATGACCGCGCAATTGTCATTCAAAATGCAACAGAGCTGAAAGCTGAAAATTGGCCTGGGCAGGAAGGGGATAAAGTGCCCGCTAGGCAAGTGGTTAATTATTTATTTTAATTCTCTATTCTGAAAGCCTTGTTTTATGTCATATGAGTGGTACAGCACCAATCACCAATAAGATGAACAGGTAGAAACAATGCAAAAGGAAGCAAACATGGAGTAACCAATCACACTAATGAGCAGCTAGATGGTGATTTATTGTTTCTTTAATTTTACAATTTTAGGTTTATATGCATGTTGGGCAGCTGTCTGCTTCTGCCATTTTAATGGATACAAATGATCAATAAGTTCAGCAATGATTATACTAGTGAAGAGAGGATGTTTCAGCAAAACTGCCAAGGTTTGAGGTTTGGTTCACAGCTGTCTTAAGACTGAAACATGGAGACTGGGATGTCATGGGTTTCCAAGGCTAGGCTATGTTGTGCAATTAAGTGTCCCTAAGCTACAGATTTGTGGTGGCTTTGACTGAAATAGTTCATAAGCAGAGAAAGTAGTGGGACAAACGTAAGAGAAATTACACGCTGTCTCTATAGAATAACTATTAAAGCCACTTTTTGTTATGTGCCTAGTGAAAAGACCACGTTTAGAGAAAATACATCCCACCCTGGGTAACTACTGTATGTTAAGCTGATCATACACACTGGATGCTGAAATCATTATCTGCCAATCCAAATATGTTCTTATTTAGCAAAGATTAGATGGAATTCTAGTGCACTAATAACCTGACCTTTGTGTAATTAAAAATGTAATGTCAAGCTTCAAATGTTCTGCTTTGTGTCAGAAATGTACTAATTTAGATACCGACAGACAGTCAGTAAAAGCAGCACCGCCCAAGTGTGCAAGCTAGGGATATTTATTGTTCATGTATAAAAAAAAGGGGAAACACGCCACACACTGCAGCACTTGCTAATAATGCAATTTTATTGAACACAAAATCACAAGTATCAAACTCTGACCCATAAAAACAATTAAAACTAGCTCATTTCCCAAAGGTTTACAGAAATTTCCCTCAAGAAAACAAAATATATTGTTATGAGTGGATGAGTGGATAGAGTATCATTTTTAGAGGCATACTAGTATATTGTGTTATAAGGAATTTAACAACAAGACTAGAAACATTCCTTCAGATGTACTGCATCAGAAACTGTCATTGCACAATGCATTCCAAAGAGAGGTAAATAAACCATTATACATGCCAGGCTGTTATGTGCATATTGTACACATTGCTATTCTTTGTTCTCTGCCTCTCATAATACCACCCATCTTCTTACCAGTAACAGAACTTCCTGTTGCAGGTTCCTGTGCACACCATTATACTTAGCCCTTGAGTTGCCTATCCCATAGACCTGATAGGAAACCCAATGGCCAAATTAATTAGTGCAAAGAAAAAAACAAATCTACTGCTAGCAGCAATGGTTTAGCATTGTCAGGTGGCAAAAGGAAGTGCTTTTATTGGCAGGATCTCCAGGTAGAAAACTTTGCAACAAAAACATTATCTACTAAGGAAAGCTGTAGGCATGATGCCAAGCATACTGAAAATACATGTCGGTTTACAAGACAAGAAGAATTAAACTTCAAGAAGGAATATTGTTTATTCTGATCAGTAGGGATGAGCTTTGGATATGGACTAAACTAAAATTAGGTCTGAATTGTACCTGCTCAGCTTTCATCAAAAGAGCAAACAATGGGTGTCAAACATCTGGCTGCGGTGGGAAGTACAATGCTCAGCATAAATGAGCACACCCCAACAGATTTGCCAGAAAACCTTTACTTTTCTTTCAGAATCAACATTTTCTATGGGACACTATACTAAAAATACACCCACAAATTCAGGCCATTGACAGAAAACAAGATTTATTAATTTGCACACAAAAAAGTATTTTTCCCAACAAATTCATTCAAGACCATATTGCAAAAATGAATACACCGCAACGAAAGTCTAAAGAGCAAAGCTAAATTTTAGACAACAAAATTCTAATTAACAAAACTTCAACTACAGGACAGTCTAATTATTTAATAAACTGGTGTCTATCAGACAGTTGATTATAAAAGGACATTACTTAATAAAGAAAACCCCTTCCAATTTCATGCTGTCAGCAATGGCACCAAATGGAAGAGAAATGTTGCAAGGCCTGAGAAAGAAAATTATTTCTTTACAAAGAAAGGTGAGGGCTACAAGAAGATCAGCAAAACTTTGTACCAAAAGTGGTACAAACATTTAACAAAAATGGAACTGCAGCCAGATCACAGAGATGTCTAGGCCATCCATGGAATTTAACACCTCGACAGGAGAAGGGTTGAAGAAAATCGCCATGCAAGTTCACTGCAGTTAGCTAAAGAAGTAGAAACCAAGCTGGGGTGATTGTTTCCTGTGAAACAGTATGGAGTACATTGCAAAGGAATGGCATGCATAGTGTCACCCACGAAGGAAGCCTCTCCAAGAGCCCATGCACAAAAAATCCCATCTAGAATTTTCCAGGTCCTATGCTGAAAAAGAAGAAGACTACTTGAACTCTGTACTCTGGAGTGATGAGACCAAGATAATTTTTTTTGGAATTGATGGCTTCAAAACTGTATGGCATTACAAATGTGAGGAGTACAAAGAACAATGCATTGTGCATACATTGAAACATGGTGGTGGCAGTGTCCTTCTGTGGGGCTGCATGAGTGCTGCTGGTGTCCGGGAGCTGCATTTCATTGATGGCATCATGAATTAACAGATGTACTGCTCTATATTTAAAGAGAAGATGTTGCCATCACTCCATGCCCCTGGTCGTTATGCACTTTTCCAGCATGAAAATGATCCAAAAAATACAACTAAGAACACTCTTTCTGAAGAACAGTGATTCAGTAGCCAAGTATGTCTCTTGATCTGAACACAATCGAACACCTATGGGGAATTCTGAAGAGACAAGTTCAGCATTACTCTCCATCCAGCATCCAGGCTCTAAAAGAGGTCGTTCTTGAAAAATGGAAAAAAAATAGATGCTGAAATATGTTGCCAACCTGTTCATTCCATGCATAGAAGACTTGGTGCTGTCCATAAAAATCATGGAGGTCATACAAAATACTAGATGTTTTTGTTATGGGGTGTATTAATTTTTACATCACCTAATCTGAGTAAAACTAACGATTTTGTGATCTAAGTTATAATATTAACCTTACTTTCATGTACAAAATGTTCTATAAAACTCATTTCTGTCAAAATTTTGGAAGTTGTTCTTGTGTTCCTTGAGATATTGATTAAAATCTTACTTTTCAAAAGTGGTGTACTAATTTATGCTGAGCACTGTAATATATTTAGTAACGGTATTAATTTGGATTATTGACATTGAGCAAATATGGACATGGCTATATTTGGTGAATTACATCATCTACCATTTCCATCCTTTTGTTTACATTCCCCTGTTAGCCAACATTCTGACAGTCACTTGGTGAGGAGTAGCAATGGGAGCAGATCATCTCAATGGTCATAATCTTTTCTTTCAGTGGGTTGGCAGACTTTGTTCATCATGACTGATGAGGATTTTTTAACTATAAAGATTATATTAGCACACAGGAAAAGCCAATACTGAGCAAAAATAAGACCCCCCCCCCCCCCGGCCCAATGTTCAATGAAGTCCATAAAAATATTTTATTTTCTCACCAGAAAAACAGACACATGAGGATTTGCATCACTGGACGAGGTTTTTGATGATGGATTTACGTCGCCCATGGGGAACCTGCTTTATGCCTTTAAAACCTATACCAGGTCTTCATTAAAGATAAGATTTTTTTGTAATTTTTGCTGTAAGCTGTACTATTAAATGTGTATTTTGTTTCAATTCGTTTTTTAGACAAAAGTTTAATTTTAGGAGATTTGAATGTATAGTAATCTCTGAATGGATATAGTAACAAATTTCAACGAGTCCGATAAAAAAGTTATAATGAAATTAACAAATGCATTTGTTTCAATTGGATGACATCACATGATGTGATAGTAGTTCGGGTCAATGGGGAAATTAATTCAATTTTCAAGTTTGTTTGATAATTTGGAATGGATATGAATTCTGTTCCATTTATTCAGATGTACCTGATGCCAGTTGATATTGTCCAATCAGCTCACACTATTTCTCTTGGTTGGTTGGACTAGCATCCAAAAAATATTGAATCCTTCTGATTCTAATCCATGTGATTTTATAATTTATTGAATATGCAGTAATCTTCCGGAAAAACTAACATTTTTTTAATCCACCCAGACCAATTAATATATGGAATAAATGCCAAATATATGAAAAATTCCCCAAAAAAAGGTCAACATAAAGAATATGATGAAGCAAAATTCTTCAATGAACTACTGTATGTGAAAAGAAATGAATATTTCCAGCATATGTACTTTAATGTCTATGTACTACAGATAATGTGACATTTTAGAAAAGAAAATTGCTGGTAATAAACATTGTTTAGATTTCCCTTCAAACTTCTTTTATTAACAAACAGCATAGGAAACATTCCAAAGGTACTCCAAAATACATACCAGACCCGA